ATCATAGTCGCATCGTCGACAGACATGACTATCTGCAGTTCAGAAAGACATCGACATCCATCTGCACAACCCTTGCTGCATGTCCGCGTGATGCTTCAGGCACGCTTACCTAAGGCAGAGCAAATACTCCTGAGCTCATAAGTCCAACGGATACCTGGAGTAGCAGGGCATATCGAAACGACCCGCGACAAATACCAGGCACATACCGAGCTTGGTACTTTCAACAATGGCCTTCAGGGAAAGCAACGGGCGGTTGGATTCCGATTCCAAAAACGATTGCCCTTCACAGATGGTCAGACTACTTCACATCATGTTCGTCGCTGAATTACTCATCGCCTTTGACATGGTGCACACTGAGCATGGCGTTAGCGTCGCAAGCAAGCATAACCCTCGGAGTCGCGACTCAGTCTGCTAATTTCCCCTTCAGCCACCGCACTCTGGCCGAAATGTGACTCGTCAGGGGAAGAAGTGCCGAGCTTCGAGCTTCCTTCTACGCTCGCTCTCTTCTCCAGCCTGCTTCCCCAACTTTGCTAAATTACAGGAGTCTACTACTTTGCATAGTGCGTTGCTCGACCATCCTCGCTTTGCGGTCACGGACCTCTTCTCCAGTCACGTCGTCTAGATCCGTCCTCCATCAAGTAGGGGCCAATCTCCATTCCCGACAAGGGAACTCCTGACACTGACGTGTGCTGCTCCGAATGATCCGCCCAGCAGAACAGTTCCAAGGGTAGCTCCTACTAGCGTGTGGCCAGCCTCAAGCTCACGCGCCCATGGGTTGGTTTTGTTAGGCTTTGCACACCGACAGACCGGCCCACTTCTTGTCTCGCTATCGAAACGCGGCACGATACGATGTTTTTGGGTCTCGTACCTGGAAGCTAAATGTCCATCCACCTCATTCCTTTGAGAATCTTCCACGCGCCAGCTCACCGGAACCTGATGTCTTACACGCATCCGGTGCACAGGCAGCGCCAACTAGCTTGCGTCCGCACGGTGATCTCATTAGCCACATGCGTGGGCAGCCCACGAAGACCTGAAGAGGCAACGGGGAGAGCATCTATAGTCCTCATCGTCCAGGGGCAATATTTCGGTATCGCGAACCAGGGCTAGGCGGCACCTGGATCGTCTTCGGAGCCATAGGATTGCACCGGTGTTGCCGACTCGACGGCATCGAGAGCACCTGACACCCCCAAAAGGCCCCTGGCGACATATCCGTGCAGCACCACCCCTGTCCTTCCCCGGACTTTTTTACTACTCTCGGACCAATATGTGAGCCCGGTTCTTTGAGGGAAGAAATCTCGTCCAAAGACGTTGCCGATCGCTGTTGAATATCCGCCAAGGACTACACACACTCTTGAGCGGATCAATTAAAAGTCGATCACTCGGGGAAAGGGTCTGCAGACTTGCTTGCCAGTCGTCAATCCGCTTGCCGATCTTCAGACGGCGCCGGAAAAATCTCGTTAGAAACTTGACGTCAGCCTCAGTTCTCACACGTCGGGGTGCTTTACATTCATGTCCATCTGCCAAGAGATTTGCAGACAATTCCGTTTTCAAAGGTACGACGCCGTGATGCGAGACAATTTCCATTTCAAGGGAACACTTTCTCATGTAGAACAAATACAGTTGCCTGTCAGGGCACGCTGGCTTCGGTCTTCGCCGGTAAAGCTCATGACGATAGTGAGGGCACACACTCTTTTTTGGAAGGCCCCAGGAAGGCTTTGCCACAATGAAGGCAACCCGGCTAAACACAGGTCATCAAGGGTTTGCCACCAATAATGCGAACTCTTTCCTATTGGTCTGCGACTTATTTCATTAACCTTCCCAGAACTTCCTGTCTTGTGCATTGCAGCGTGTAGACTGCAGGATCATGCGGCCCACACACACGCGCACACACACAATGTAGCATGTCGGACTCCAAATTCAAGTCCCTGGAGACACGCATCGCCCCGATCACGAACGTGATGCATATGTGGGAATGCTTTAGATTCAATTGACGCTTCCACGGTCAACTTGCTGATTAGGTACCAAGTGACGCAACGTTGCTGTTTGTCCACACCCACTTGCCCTGACCTCAATATCAGGCCGTGCAGCATGGCATTTCTAGTGAGTCGGCCAACTGCATCTAGACTTGTCAGCCCTCCCGAAGACTTGAAGGAAAAGTCGATGAGTTCCTTCACTGCGAGAGAATCTGACGACTATGCCCCCACGAACCATTGTTTCCAAGCGCCTGCGGCGAGAGCCATACCAAGTCGAGCGAATCTTGGTCTCCGCCAGGCGGGGCACGGCTCGAAAGGTCCTCCTGCGTCGCATTCTTGTCCACACACGCGCCCACGCACGAAATGCGCGCACTATCGCCAGATCCAATCGATGCCGTTCATGCCCGTGGGCCGCCAAACTCAGCCCACACAATCAAACATAGTCGAGGCCTGAGACGATGCCGGGCGGCTGGGTCGATTGGGAGCGGGCCGAAAAGATTCGCCTCGTCGTTGCCCAACGGTCACTGACGGCATTCTCAAGGCTTTTATCATGTTCGCACTGGCTATCCATACCACATGAAGGAGGCGATGTACCGGGTCTCGAACCTGCCGATCCTTGTTGATCTACAGCTCGAAATCTGGTTTTCGTCACTTATTCAGATGCGACTTTGTCGTATCGGCGAGAGTGGATCCCGGAGGACGGCCGTCTGGCATCGCCACATGCGAGAGTGCGGGTCGGCTCTTGGTAACATTACGACAGTGCGGCGGACCACGACCTCCCACGTCGGCCTATTTTTCGAAGCCGACATTCGGTCCGGGTGTTCAAGAGGTTCTTAGGCCCTCGGGTTCCAACTTGTACCAGCTTGAGAGCAAAGGCCCTGGTTTGGAACTGTTCCGGAGCCGATCTGCAAACGCCCACCACACATGAAAGAGCATTTGAGGACGCAATTCGTCGCAGCTCATCAGCGAGGACATTCATCATGCTGACGACAACAAAACCAATGTGGCTCTGTGTGCGATGAGGCGCTGTGCCCAGACATCGAAAACCCGAGTACACGGATCGCGACTTGTCTCTAAAGTTCAGGCCACGACGGCTCGCCGCACACTAAGGCATGCCGCTTTGCGCCAGGGCTATTTCAACTGGTTCTGTCGTCTCATGCCCCAATGAGCCGCTAATCAAGGAGAAACCACCCGATGCCAAGGTGTGTAGATCCTTGCCACAGATCAGCCACACCAGCCACTGTGGGAGTCCCGAGTTCAACGGCCGAGTCCCGAAATTCACGTCCAACAGAGTTGAGCGGCGGTTCGACGTCTACTCCGCCTTCTTGACGTGTATCTTCTCGTGCCTACGACAATCATTGAGCCTGGTGAACGCTTTGCCACAACTGGAGCACGCGAAAGGCCTCTCGCCGAAGTGGCTTCTCATATGGCCCTTGAGGTTGATATTGCGCGTGAAGCTCTTGCCGCAGATGTTACACAGGAATCGGGCGTCTTCCACTCTCCGCGTTGGCTGTACAAACGCGGGAGGTTGGTCGCTCTTCTCAGGATGATAGTGGCGGACGTGTCGTTCCCTGTCCTTCTTCGTAGTGAAGCCAAACGGCGCCTGTGTGCAACCGTCCAGTGGACAGGGGAAGGGCCGCTCGTGGCGATTCAGATGGTGATCACGCTCGATTTCCGTCTCGAAACCTTCTGAGAAGAAGTCGCAGGCCGGTTGACTACACTTGAACATCTTCGGGCCGTATGCGACGGCAAGGGCGCCTCGACCACCGACAGTAGACGCGAGGGCTTCAAGCACCTTTCGATTCTTGCTGAAGGCCTCGTCGACTGTGACTACGCTGACTCGCGGATCGTGATGCCCGCTCTTTCTGTGGTTATACACGTGCGTGTAAAGCGCCAGCAGCTTCGCGTGAGAGGCAATACCAGGAATGTCGTGCGCTCTCAAAACGGGCGGGGCGTCGGTATTTTGCGATATACCAGCGTGATGAATGTGGAAAAAATTGACGAGAGCCCGCTCGAACGCCGAACCATACGGCGTGTCCTTGAGAAGATGCTTGCAGTCGTGAAGGACAGCTTCGAGATGGCCGGCCCAGTTGGCTACAATGTAGTCTTCGAGTGCCAGTCGTCCCTGGAGAGCATGGCCCCGACGATCGACTTCAGGGCAATCAGGATCGAACCAAGGCTGCGACAAGTGATCGAGACAGAAGATGGCCAAATCGCATTGCGCTCGTGGCATCTCAATGTGCCTGCGATTTGATGGAACGTTAGCCGCGCAGCAGGCACTGAGAGGATGCGTGTTGGCTCACATTTTGGCAGTCTGATGGATCAACTGAATTCGCGTTCCAGGGAGGACCTGCAACAACGGTCGGCATGACTGTATCAGTGCCTCCCACGGTTCGCGATCACCAGCGACCGTGATTGAATCATGAGAACGACAGGCGATGCCTCGGACCTCGTGCCAGTGCAATGGTCGCTTCGCACCGGACAGCCAGGAGAAGAGGGCCGAAGCCCGTTCCCTGCCACCTCGGAACTCCTGATCGACCCGCTGCATGACACCACTGAGTATTCTGGCATACCAGTCACCAGTGGTATTGTCGCGACTGGCAGCTTCTTGCAGCTCTTGTTC